TTAAAATAACTGTATTATAATATATAATAAATTAATACTAAGTTTGTGTGAATATGTATGTGTAGTATATTCCCGAACACATATGTGTCTTTAGTTGGCAATGTAATGTTAATGTAAAATATTTGTAGATAAGATTTTTTTAGTACTTTTCTTACATTACACTTTTCAGAAGTCTATATAGCTAAAGTAAAACTTTAGTTGTAATAATGGACTATGTGTACTCAAAAGCTTTTTCTTCAAAGATGAACCAATCTTAATGAGGAAGTTATTATTAAATGAAAATGCCTTTTGTATTAATGATCTGGTGAATTTCTAAGCTGGAACATCCAGAGAAAAGGTAGTTTCAGAATCCAGCATTGCTTTGGCTTTTTCATATAGTTATGTTCATTTTCCCATAGTTGTATGTATTAGGCTAGTATGTCTGAGATAGATATATTTTCAAAAGGTAAAGAAACATTAATAACTTTCATAAATCTCCTCCTTTTAAATTAAGATTTGTTGGGCAGTATAATCTTTGGTATTTTCTGGGTTGAATTATTGATCAAGAACAGTTAATAACACATTAAAAAGATTGTAAGTATTTGATTTGCTAGGTTTACTTTTCTAAGGAAACAAAGAACAAGACTTTCTTTCGTTTGGTTATGTGAATTATATACTTATTCCAGAGTTTCAAAGTAAACATTTTATGGTTCAAACTTAATCTTCACTGGGGGCTTCTACCAACTTCTTTTGAATGTAGTGGAATTATATTGTCATTATTTCAGTTGCACATATAGTACATCTTCAGTTTAAGAAGAAAAAAGAAAACGCTGAGTAATTACAGATGAGAAAAATCTTTTCTGTGCTCTAGACGGCTGAAAGTAACTTGAAGATATTTAAATAACATTGAGCTTTTAATGCTATTGGGGAACTATATGCTTACTGACTTTTTTTAATTGAGACATTTTATTTCATGCCTCTTTGAACATATGCTTTTATCACACAAAATAATCATAGTAGGTGTTGTGACCTTTTAGCCTCTTGGAGCAGTTAGCATGTCGTATTCTGAATTTCAGCTGCTGTCTTGCACTGGGTTTCTGACTGTGTGGACCCACATCTTTTTTTTTTTCTAATTGCTATCCAGCAATATATATGAACTGCTACCTGGCAAGATAGAAGTGTTCCATTGAGCTAGGCGCCTGCACTTAATGAATAAGTGACTGTAATTTGCAAGATCTATACTTTTTTTCAATGCTTGCAACTTGTGATTGATCGTACTGACCCAGCCAAGCAAAGCTGTGTTATGCATAGGGTAAGAAAATAAGGAAGTAGAAGGATGCAGAGTTGCTACCTTATGATGTCTGAGGTGATAGAAATAGGAGGATTATCGAATGTATCAGTAGGTTATTTATATCATTGGAAGAAATCGGTGCATGTTTGTTCATGTATGATTTGGTTTTAATTAGGAGCCGAAGCTTAAAGAACAAATTAAAAAAGTAGCTAGCATGGCTTCACTTACAGCAGTTTGTGAGATAATGGATCAGAAACCTGAAGCGCACCTTGAATCTCTGCCTTCTGTGGATGCTCTGAAGAGATTTATTTCCTTTTCTCAATTCAATGAAGTATTAAAGAAGCCATCTTATATTGAAGAAAAAAGTAGGTACGTCTGTGCTATAGCTTCAGTAATTCTCCAGAATAAATTTGATTAGCTTGGAGCAGTGATTAAGATGCTGGCTTTTCCTGTTCTTTTCTTTGATAACTTTTTGCCAAAATCAAAATGAAGAATTCTGAACACAAACTATTCATTCAGTTGCTCCTTTGTCTTAACATTCAGGTTTTAGAGCATTAAAGCAGCCATAATTGATCAGACCAAAGGTTCTTCTGCTCAGTCCTCTAGTGCTATGAAGCCAGAGCTAGCTTTGAACATTGCTTATCCTTATGCCAGCTTCAATATATATACACTGCACAAAGCCATAGCATGTACGCAAGTGAGTTTAAATGGAAATTATTTACGGTTGGGGAAGGGAAGCCCAGAGCAAGCCTGAGGGCCAAAACCCAAATGTTTGGTTAACAAAAAAAGACGGCCAGCATATTGTGATGTTTCCATTGATTACTCCCCCAGATTCTTATGACTAATGAGACTGCCTGAGCCCAGAACTGATTTTTCTGTGTTTAAAAAACTTTATTTGTAGGTTTCTCTTCCATGAACTAGTCCAGTCTCCCCTTGAACCTGTGTAAATTTTAGTATCTTGAAGAAGTATAGTGAGTTTGTACAGCTAAGCTGTTCCTGGTGGAGTAGGAATGTGCAGGGTAAATTAATACAATACACATTTAAGAATAATATTCCTCTTACAGCTTATGCGAAGAAACAACATCTCAAGGATGGGGGAAAATTGTTGCACGCTATGTTCGTGACCAGTGGATTTGCCTTCGTTTCATTTTAAATTCGTTTCCAACACTGGCTCGAGAGTATGAAGAAACTTCAGAAATTGCATTATCTACAGTTGAAAGGTCAAGAAAAATTCTAGAGTCTGCATTAGAAGCCCTAACTATTCTTCCTTCAGACCAAGTTTTACCTGTGTTTGATTGCATGAAAGTCCTTGTTCCCAAGGTAAAAGATAAAACAACTGCAGGATATTAATAGTTTTGGGGGTGGTTTTTGTCAAATTAACACTTTCTTCTCTTTGTTTTCAGCTTCTGGACTCAGCGGAGCCTCTCTGCATAGAAGCATTTGATTTGGCTTGGAAAATTATATCCTCTTTGAGCAACACACAGCTAATATTTTGGTCCAATCTAAAAGCTTTTGTTCAGTTCGTCTTTGATACTGAGGTTCTAGCTGTTGCTGCAAGTGCAAAGGGTCAAGCATATGCCAAAATCAAAGAGGTCAGTTGAAGAATTGTTTTTTGGAAAGCGAACGTAAATTTTATCTGGATCTAAAAATGTATTTTAGTTTTTATTTTCCTTTCGGCTATTGTAATGAATTTTTCATTTCCAAAAAGGTACTAGTTTGAGAGTGTTAAGACAAAAGATCTGAGAATTAGATTGAAGATAAACAAATACGTTGTTTGTTCTTGTGACACAGAAAATGAAAAGTACTATTTCTTTGATTTTCAGACTGTTCAGTATCTTCCGCATTCAGCAAAATGGGGTTTTTGGTCTTTATTTTATTTTCACATTAAGCACTTCCTCTTGAATGTTTTGTTCAGGATTTGCCACCCGAACTGTCACAAACTATTAATATTCTGGAAAAATTATGCCTTTTTCTAATAATTTCGTCTTTGTGAAACTGCTTTCTTAAATGAGAAGTTAGAACCGTTCAAAACTTTAATAGATGCTACTGAATAAGCTAACTGCTGCTTTAAAAGCTTTTGTTTTTTCCTCTGAGGGTCCAGGTGTAGAAAGCATAAAAATCATAGTCACCTTAGAGTTCAATTTAATACTGCATGGTAGAGCTGCCTCCATAGTTAAGAAGAGGAAAAAAAAAATTTTTACTCTTTTTGTAAGATGAATGCAGCTTCCGGTACTCCAAAAGTTCTTGCGTATGTCATGGTGTTCTTTTTTCATTTTGAGTCACTAAAACCGCATTCAGTACTGGGATGTTGGTTCATCTTGGCTTTAAACACTGTAAAGTTGTTTACTATTTCTTTCCTAAATAATCTTTCTTGGGTTTTTTGCCTTTTTAGCTTCTGAGCATCAATTAAATGTTTGTGCAGAACAGTCCACAATGACTGCAAGACTTTTACCAGAGCAGTAATACATTATAAATTAGTTACCGGTATATATGTATGTTTAGACTATGCTTAGACTTACGATCTCATGCGCTGCTTTGCACTTAGCACAGAAATCGTACTAGGAGGGGTTCCAGTTTTGCTTTGAAGTCACCATAAATAGCTCTGTCCTGGTGTCACACTCGTAACTGTAAATAATAGGAAATGGCTCAGCTTTATTTTCAGCTCAGACAGTCCAAAATGATTTTTTTAATAAAATATAGAAATATGCATGCTTCCTAGCAATTTAAAATTGCTGTGATATCTCCATATTAGCCTTAAGTATCTTAAAATACAGTCCCATTTATTTTCTCTTTGTTCTTTTTGAAGACTTGCTTCAAATGAATGTTACTGTCATCTATTTTAAGCAGTAGATAACACTTCGCATTTGTAGTCTTAATGTGGACCCAGGCCAAAATAAGATACGTATGCAAAGATGGTAAAATCTCTCTTCAGTTCTAGGAATCTGTTAGCTTTTTCTTTTAATGAATATCTGTAATGGATAATTGTATGCTCAGTGTTGTAGTAATTGTTGAGCTGTAGTTAGTTTTTTATTTTTCTTTGATCTTAAAATTTGTTTAAATTCTTAGAATTACTGTCTTAACTTCAAGCATTATGTAAGGTGTATTTTGCCAATGTTGAGAGTCTTGAGTCTATGTGACAGCTATCCCATTGTCTGCAGTGGGACATACCATGACAGCAGGCATCAAGGAGGTAATGAAGGTCTCCTATACTCAACAAAGGGCATCTGGTCGAGCCACCTTCTGCCCCTTCCTAAGAAAATGAAGATAAAGTTCCCAAGCAAGTGTCTGTTTATGTATATTCTTACCCACTCCTTGGCAGTCTCTGTTGCCATTGACCCCTTGTGCAATGGCTACATAGTTTTAGCTAAAGAGAAAGAAAAAATGGAACTGCCCGATACTGATTTGTCACAGAAGCATAATTTTAATTTTGTCTACCACAGTGCACTCTGTCTTTTTAATAATAGTTAGAAGGGGTGGAACAAAGGGGTATTTTTAAGCCAGAAAAGGGAATATTGCTGTGGTAAAATCCAGAAAGGCTTCTGCAGAGGTGCTCAGAGCACTGTGTTCTTAGGCTTCATTTCTTCTGCTGCTTTTTTCCTTTTTCTCTGTGACTTATTCAAATGTTAATTGTGCTAGAACTTAAATTTCTTAAGCTTATTTTGTGTGTGCTGGACTTCTACTATGTTAATGAAACAATTGAAAAACCTTCCAGGATTTTGAGAAATATGTAGTAAATGTCATGCTGCTTCTCCTCAGGTGAAACACAATAGTTCAATTTTGTTATTATTAGGAAAGTTACAATGCCTGTCTTTGCACTAAAAGAAAAGTTCGAATTCTTTGTACAAAGACCAGATGTTTCTAGTGTGTGTTGGTTTTTTTTTTCCCAAAAAAAGTGTTTATTCTGAGTGCATTCCAATATTGCAATTTAGGCTCTTCATGAGCTTCTCGGTGCTTTAATCCTTAGCAATTCAGAACAACTTTCTCTATAAAAACAGAGTTACTGTCAAAGAATTGTCGTGTTATCGAAAGTATAATTTCGGAGCAGGGAAGAGAAGAAGCTTTGTCTTGTAATAGCTGTCATACCTTCTGGAAAACCATTCTCATGGACAGCTCTAATTGATGTTGTCTAAAAAGGAATTTATAAAAAACCTACCTGTTCATTCTGAATCTCCCTGTCCTCTCCCAAATGCTTGCAATTTCTTAGAAAAAAAAATTACTTTGTAACTGAAGTTTACTCTTGCACTTAGCTTAATGAAGGGAGTAGGAAAGTAAAATTTTGGGGCCATTTTTCTTGTTTTGTTTTATTTTTCTCCTTTTTGGGGCCATTTTTCTTGTATTGTTTTATTTTTCTCCTTTTTGGAGAAGTTCTGGATAGCTGTTTCATATATCTTAAATATGCCCTCCTCAAAAAAAAAAAAAAGTAAATAGTACAAAGACATTTTTCCACTTGAACTCAAATACGAACTTTTACTTCAATATGAATGTAATCCTTATTAAAGAAGAGAATTAGTGATACGGCTATCTATGGAAGAAATATGTTTAATGTTTAATTTTTTTTCTAAATTGGTAAGGATTGATTAAAAACACCAGGTTTGTACTCACTGAAGTAAGCCCAGGTGCATTTGTTCCAGTTATCAGGAGATTCATGTAAAGCATCTGGTGTTATATCTGTTTAAGCAAAGATCAGTTCTATCTTTTGTTAACATAAACATAAACATGTGCTGGCCCTATTGTTGCCCATTCACCTCCCTCAGAATCAGGGAATTGAAAATAGATTGAAGACAGCATTAACCTGAGCAGATCTAGGATGCAGAAGGATATCACTGCAATATTATTCTAATAATTCTAGCACTTCTGAAAGCAAGATTTTGAATCTTCTGTTTCTTCTTCTTTTCAGATAATTTTCAAGCTCATAGATATGTCCGCTACAAAGACTGGAGTCTTCAATGTAGTCCTGAGTCATTGTTGTCAGTCTTGGATATGTCCCACTGTTGATGAGAGAAGTGCCTTGACAAATGCTTTCTTAAATGCTGGAAATTATTGTGAACTTATCACTGAGGCTTGTGTCTTTGGAACTGTATTTAGGAGAGATCAAAGGTATAAAAAACATCTTTGTGATTATATTTGTTATAGTTTTATGCACTTTGGTTTTTTCTTTTAAACTTTGAGATAATTACTGAAATAATTTTTGTATGCTATTTTGTTAATTTTGTTGCTTTGTCTTCTTTCATCTGTGAAGACTTATTCAGGATGTGCATGCCTTCATAGAAAATCTTGGAGAAAAGTGTGCAGCAAATGTTGTTACAGAAAGGTAATGATTTTGAGGATACATCATACAGTATTTGGTCTGAATTGTGTAGTCTTTACGATTGATGCTACAATAGGAAAGATGCTGTTTTTGAAGTCAGCTTATGACTATATTCATAACCTTCTTAAATATTGGTAAAAGGGATATACATCACATCACATTTATAATTCAAATACAAAATGTAGAAAAATGTTAAGTATTTTCAGGAAAATATATCCCATTTGTTAACCTGAATGGAATTGAAATAACTACTTCCTCATTGTTTCACTTCATAAAAGTAATACTTTTTAGGATGCAGGTATTTTACCCAGTGCTGATACGTACCTTATCATTGTAGACAAGACAGTTAAGAAATTCAGGCTTTAATGCAGCCAGATTTGGAGCTCGGCTCTTTAACATTGATTGTAGGCCTTTTTAGTTTGCATACTGGCAATATGTTATGCCTCCAGTTTTTGAAACAGGGACATGGGCTACTGGATTACTGAACTTTTTTTGTAGCTTCAGTCCCACCTTTACTCATTGGAAGAAAGTCAGAGAAACAGTCTCACATAGTGCTTTGGGAAGTGTTAGTAGTTGCTAAAACCTGAGTTTGTAAAAGTCTACTACCAGTTCTAGTTCAATACTCCTGTATTTTCTCCCAAAAGCTTTTTGGTTTCCAAATGTCTGGTTGTGACAGTCTGCAACTGTGTAATGCTTTGTTACCTGTAATGTCATTAATTCTACCTTTGGCATTAATTATTCCAGATGTCCCTGAGTAACTAATAGGAATCAAGCGTTGTTTTAGACTAGAATATTTGACCAAAACTGTAAGCATAAATTAATTGTTTTAAGATTACAGTTTACAAAAACTTTTTATGATACAGCTATTTATGTAGAAAATTATTTTAAACACTTAGATGCTATTAAAGACCTGTAGATAAAAACAGGGGCAGGTTATCTGGAACTCACTAGTTTTCTTCATCAGCAAGGATGAACAGACCTTAAAATTTTGGTTCTGGGTATTTGCGTATTGTCTCACTACAGACAACTTGTTCAAGATGATGTTTGGTGCTTTTTTATAATTTAGGAATTATCTTTATGTCTGAACAAGTAGAGTATGCTTTTAATTTTTTTTAATTGATATTTTACAGTACAAATCGAGATGATCACTACGTTCGGGTTTGTGCTATTAAATTTCTGTGCTTGTTGGATGGATCAAATATCTTGCATAAGACGTTTATGGAAGACATTTTCATCAAACTGCTTGATAAAGTAAACTTCATTTCTCTTGGTATATAAATGTAATGTTAGTACAACTATTAACATGCGAAGTATTTACAGTTGACAGGAAGTATTTATAGTTGTTTGTATAGCCTGTCTGGATTTGCCCAGTAATATACTTTTTTATTTTATTATGAGACAGGAGTTAATTCAGCCAAACAAAATAGTAAAAATTGTCTTTCGGGTTTATTTCTCTCTCTTTAGTGGATTTTCTAACTTCACGGAACATTATCCAAATTGTAACCACTGTTCCATTAAGAACCTTCCTTTAGGCTGCATTTTGAAGCACCACATTTCACTTTTAACAATTGCAGACTACCTTTTGAATTGAGAGAGCTGTTGTCTTAGAAGACCTTTATAAATAGGAGTAATGGAGAAGGTTGGGGTCTGATTTTCATTTATATCATAGCTGCTAATGCATTGGCACTAGCGTAAAATCAGTGGTAAATCACTACAGCTGCTATTAGAACATCATGCATTCTGGTACCATAGAATTCTGCTTTTGTCTGAGGAAATGGGTGGTCCTTCATTCTTGTCAATTAACTACTGAAGAAAAATGGTTAATATTTATGTTGTAATATTGATCAAGTGGGAAAAGTGAGCTTGAAAAGTGATTTCCTTACTTGCTTAAATATGAAGCATAAACATGTAAAAATAAAGTGTATTTGCATTTTAATATTAGTGTAAGACTTGGATCACCAAATAATTTTCTTTTTAGAAAGTTAAGGAAATACTTCTGGGTGTCATGTATTTTGAAGGCCAAACCAGAGTACGTTAATATTGATCAAGTGGGAAAAGTGAGCTTGAAAAGTGATTTCCTTACTTGCTTAAATATGAAGCATAAACATGTAAAAATAAAGTGTATTTGCATTTTAATATTAGTGTAAGACTTGGATCACCAAATAATTTTCTTTTTAGAAAGTTAAGGAAATACTTCTGGGTGTCATGTATTTTGAAGGCCAAACCAGAGTACGTAATTTTCAAATCTTTTTAAAGCTCCGTTTATCTCATCTATTTTCTTTCACGTAAAACAACTTTGCAGAATATCAATTTCTGTATCAAAACTAGAGCTGTAGTGACAAGCTGATCTAATTGATGGCATGACTAAACCCATTTTTTAAATGTAGATTCAAAAGGTAGTCTGCAACTTTTAAAGTGAAATGTGGTGCTTCAAAATGCAGCCTAAAGGAAGTTTCTTAATGGAACAATGGTTACAATTTGGATGATATTGTACTCTTAAGTAAAAATATTAAGTGGAATTGTATATTTTTTCAACTTTCCGAACTTCTCATGGACAAGCTTCAAAATTTAATTCTAAATAAATGAAATCAGTATATTTTTCCTAACTTCATATTTAATGCTGATAATAGCTTTGCAGTAGATGCTGCTTTCTCAGTACAGTGAAGTGTATTTCCATGTATTCAATTTTAAAGGAAGAATAGGTAATAAACCTTTTAATTTGCTTTTAGGATGAACTGGTATCCAGATCTAGAACACGCTATTATGCAAACTCTTTACAGCATAGAATTAAAAACCGGGTATGGCAGACACTCTTAATTCTTCTTCTGAAGCTTGACCAGGTATTGTTCTTCACTATGAATTCTTAAATAAATAAATACCTACTTTCAAGAATTATTTGGTGTTATGCAAACTGCGTATGTTAAATTACAGCAGGGTATAGAAGGCACGTAATCTCTGTGGCTGATGTAGAAGTTTTGTGTAGTTTCATTCTTTCAGTCTGAAGTCACGGATTTATGATGCATTTCTAGAAGTCACCGAAAACTGGTTCTTGGATTTGTGAATTATAGGACACTAGATTGTTCCTGTTAAATCTAGCTAAAACTCTGTACTAACTATCTGATTTAAGGCTTTTCATTCAGTAAAAATGTTGCTACTTTATGAACACTCAGAAAATTGAGAATAGTCTCATCTAATGCTTCGTCATAATGTTTTAAAAGTATAATACAGAAATTAGATGGTTCTAAAATGTTTTCATTTGAGTATTTAAAATATTTCTAATATTATGATAAAGCTGAGAGTGTTCTTTTATTTAGAATTTTTTTCTTCATGGAAATAACTGTAACAATATAGTAAATGATTATCTGATTCTGTTTTCTCAGAACTTTTTATGTGGAACCCTTGACAAAGTTTTCCAGGCTGGATTTGGTAACAATCAGGCATCTGTGAAATACTTCATAGAATGGATTGTTATCTTGAGTCTACATAAATACCCCCAATTCCTTAATAAATTCTGGGATTGCTTTTGCTATGTAAGTAAGAACTTTGGCATTCACTTGAAGAGTAATTTGAACAAATAGAGTACAGTTTGTCTTCCCATATGTTATTTTCTATGTATTCCAATTTTCCTTTAGAAGCAGTGGGTTCTTGAGCAGATTAAATTAACTTAGAAGTGAGTCTGGACTATAGTCTGAGACGTTTAGAAGTCTGTGATATAGAAGTGGCTGAAAACAAGTGAATTCTTCCAGTTGAGAGATTTCATTTTATAATGTACTACTTTAGTCAGAGTAGAGCTGGCATAGTGAGTCAGAGTGCTTTTTGCAGTTGCCAATATAAGAGCCATCAGGAACACATGGATGCCCTAGATTCTGAGTTTGGGAAGATACCGCAGAGTCACTTTGTGGTATCCACACCCAGCTTTTGTCTTCTGCATCTTGTTTGTCAGTGGGAACATGACTTGCATAACACATATTCAATTTGCAGCTTTTAATACGGAGTTTTCTCACAGTGGAATTGTGTCATGTGGTTCCAAAACTGGAGGCAAGGTTTGAATTATGGTACCCAAAAGTCGTGAAAGGGTTGACTGTGGAGAACTGACTTAGTAGCATTTCATTTTTATGTCTTGGGTTCTTCTTTAAGTAATTACCTATAAAAGTTGACCTGTATCAATTGTCTGTATTGATATCCTTGAATTTGTTAGCATTGTACACTTGGGCTGAGTAGAAAATGTATGTCCTTGCATCTCCTCCAGTGTATAGGAGGACATGACTTGCAGTGCTAACTCTGCTAAAGCTCACAACTCATAATAGTTAAATGTAGATGTCGTCTTGCTTATCAAATAGCCTAGTTGCTACTGTAGTTTTTTAAAAGCCAAACAGTAGGACAAGAATTAAAACTAAATAGAAAAAATGGAAAACTGTATATATACATTTTTTTGCCCAAAACCAGGCAGGTTTTTAATACTGCTCTGATACAACTTTGCTTGCTAGTGATGTGTGCTGTGTTTTTGGGGGATTTTTTTGTTTGTTTGTGTTTTCTGCGTAGGGGAAAAAATTTTCTCTTTCAGTTTACAATTTATACTTTTTTTAAGTGCATAAAGACGGCTTGTCATGCCTATCTGAACTGATGAAAAGTGCTGTAAGGGATGTAACCTTTTCTTATTTCAGGGTTCCTTCCAAGAGCTCAGGCAGTTGGAATTGCTGTCATGTTAGTAGGTGATAATCTATTGGATCAAAGCAATCTCATGCTGTTAACAAATGTACTGAATCACAGTGGGCTCATTCAAACAAACAGAGCAAGCAGAAAAAGCAGATTTATGAAAAAGGAATACAGATTGTATTTTCAGAGGCTGTCCTGGAAAACAGTGACTCTGAAAAGGATTGTCAGGATCATACTGAAAAATAAGCTGAACTTAAGCACCTGGGTGCAATGCTGTGGCAAAATGGATGAATAGGAACTGTAAAGAGAAGTGGTGAATACAAGTTTGGAAACCCAGTACAGAATGTGGGTGAGGCTGATGCTAGGCTATTCGTTCTACATCCGATACCTACATTTGTGATGACGTGGAAAAGTGCGAGCACTGAAAAGAATCCACAAGGTTTTTATTGGTTTGGGGTTTTTCATGGGGGTAGGGGCCGAATACAGTGAATTTGGGTTGAATTTTAGCTCATTTACACTGCTGTATACTTTGTTCTGATCGATGCGTTAGTAAAAAGCAAATAATGTGTTAGGAAAAACGAAATCTTAATAATATGAGCTTCATATTTTAGTAAAGTTTGCTGTTGAAACACAGTTTTTTTTTAATAGTCTTGATACTGCATCTGCAAAACATGCTGTGAAAACTTACAGGGTATAAGAAAGTTTTATATATGCATATTTCTTGTTACATTCTCTTTTGCTTTAGGATGAAGAAAAGCTTAAAACAAGCATCTGCACATTTTTATCAGTGTTATCACACTTTGACATCGTTCTTCAAAATACCTCAGAGAAGGTGAGTTTGACTAAAAGTGTTTACTCTTTATTCAGTTGCGCTGTATATGGATTTCTGAAATAAAAACCATTTTTGCAGTCTATTTTCAAAACCTTTTTAATACCTACGTCCTGCTAAGGTATCCTTTGATATGGAAAACACTAACTCTTCCTGTCACCTCTGTAACATATTGGAATTATGAAAATCAGCTAAATGGCTGATGTTCTGAATACATAGGGCCTTATTACCTGTGAGTTTTTCTAGAATAGCTAATCCAGTTTTAACTAAACATGTGGATGCACCTGGGTTTGTTTTTCTTGCTGCTTTTGTTTAATCTGCATGAAATTGGGCAGAGATAACCTGTAAGAAGGTGATCTTTCTATAGAATAACAACACTCAAATATGGAGTTCTTTTGGCAATAGCAAGTCCATATTACATTTAGAATTCTTAATTTAGAATTCTCAATTTTTTAATTGAACTTCAAAATAGAGGATGAAATACATTCAGGTGTTACATTAGGTCAACTACTTCACATCTGTAGCAATCTAGGCATTTCTGTTACTTTTTTACTGTTTGCAACATTTGTAAGATCAGCTTTTTAAGTGCTAGAAAATCAGAAGTTAATAGAGGTTTCCTTGTATGCAGAAATACAATTTTTAAAGCAAATTAATAAATTTTCAAAATACAAGTAGGGCTGTAGGTCTGTGCCCTAGTGAGAAGGAAGAAAGGAAATCAGGAGCACGTTCTGAAGCCTCTGTTTGCACATATATGTGCTGTTAAAGCTTTGGACTTTCCGAAAGGCTGTTTTTTGAGGAAGCCACTGTTTCTTGGGCTCTCTTGCTTTTCTACTTCTAAATGGTATGTTAAGACTTAACATAAATGAAAGAAACTTCTTTATCTTTGTTTTTTAGAAGCCGGCTTTGAAGAAAGCCCTCATAGTTGTTCTACAGTGGTGTTTCAACCACAATTTCAGCGTTCGACTTTATGCATTAGTTGCCCTTAAAAAAATTTGGGGTATGTGCAGAATGTTGCATGTGGAAGAATTTGAAGCTCTGACACCAGTTATTGAATCTAGCCTTCAACAAGTAGAGAACATGCATGGCACGGGGTTAGTAACGTTTTTCGGACTTACAGCTTAATACAGTTCTTCTGAGCCATTTGCAGCAAGTCTAATTTTCTAAAATAGCACTTGGTAATTTCTCTAGGTTTATGGGGGGGAGGGGGAGGCTATTTTCTTTAAAAGAAACCGAGACTTGGAAATTGAAATCTAATTATCAGCAAAGAAAACAAAGTGATAATTCAGTGTATCATTACAGTCTGAAAGCACAACAGGAAAAACTCAAGGCATGTTTGAACAATGCTTATAGTTTAGGGGTGAGGTAAAAAAAAAACAGGAGCGCTTAATTTTCTTACCTGATGGGTTTTGAAGCAATACAAATCATTCTTCCAAACTTCCTGGTACCAGTAAATTCTCAAATAGAAAATCTGAAATGTTTTTGTTGTTAATATTTGAAAAAATGGAGAAAAATGGATAGGGAAATTAATTTTGGGTGATGATTAAATGATCTTTACAGAAATACTTTTCTGCTTGCTGATTTGGAAATACAACTCCTCAATTAAATTTTGTACCATCTGTGTGTTTGTATCCTTTTTTTTTTAGCCCTGTTTTTAGGAATTATTAAATTATTAAATTATTTAGGATTTCTGACAGTGTTGTCAGCCAGCATAAACTTGGGACTGCTGCTGATGGGTGCTTTTTTTTTTTTTTTTTTTTTTTTTTGGAGATCATTAGTATTCATTTCTCTGATCAGAGTCACTGTTAAATCACCCATGTCAAGACATGGGATGGAAAAAAGCAGCAGAGGAGGAATCTGCTTTTTTTTTTTTTTTTTGACAGCTAGAAGTTGTCACTGAACCATAGGCTAGTATTCAGTTTCCTTCAGAGGCCTAGATGGGATACCCTTTCTTGTGAAACTTTCTTCTTTTGATAATAGAATTTGGAGACGTGTTATGGGCCTTTCTTGAAACATAAGTAAAACGTATTTCCTGAATGCTGTTTTTTGTTTTGTTTTGTTTTTTTTTTAAATGGGTCCTTACTGAATTGTTAAAGTATTTTATTTCCCATACAGTATATAGCAAATACAATCAGGTTGCCTTATTCCAATTTGACAATTTAAAAAAAAATCCAGAATGTTGCCTTTTTTTGTGCATCTTGCATTACTTTCTGCAATTGCAGG